GGGGGGGGGGGGGGAATTTAAGGGGAAGCCAAGGCCCCCAAAAAAGGGGGGGCCAAAAAGGTGGCGGGGGAAAAATTGGCGGCCAAAAGGGCGGCGGCGAAAAAAGCGCCGGCGAAAAGGGCGCCGGCGAAAAGGGCGGCGGCGAAAAAAGCGGCGGCGGAAAAGGTGGCGGCGGAAAAGGTGGCGCCCAAAAGGGCGGCGGCGAAAAAGGTGGCGGCGGAAAAATTGGCGGGGGCGGCCAAAAGGGCTCCAACCAAAAAAAAGGCGGCGGAAAGGGCGGCGGCTAAAAGGGGAATTAAAAGGTTTTGACCCTGGGGGGGGGGAGCACCCCCAGAGCCCAGGTGGCTCCCCCCGGTTGAAGGGGTTGCCCCGGGTTTTCCCCCCGGGGTTGGGGTTGGGAACCCCCCCCCCGTTGGGGGGATTTTTGGAAAACTGTTTGCGCAAAAGGGGAAATTGGGCCGGGACCCGGGGGGGGGAGGGGGGCCCGTCCCCCGGCTTTAAAAACTTGGGGCGACGATGGGCCTTGTGCCAAGGTTTCCAGGCCCCCCGCGGCACCCAGCCGCTTTTTTCCCTTTGGCCCCCCCCCCCCCCCCCCTCGCCACCCGCCTCCTCCCCCTCCCCCAGGCATCCTGCCTCGCCTCGAGGCCCTCGAGCAGCTGCTGCAGCCGGACGGCGGCGACGGCGGCGGGCGCGGCGACGGGCGCGCGGCCGCAAAGCCATCGCCTAAGCCCCCGCCACCAGGACTGCCGGGGTTGGCGCGTGCCAGCACCGCCGGCTGCGGAAGCACGGCAGCCGGCATGCCGCCGGGGCTGCTGCCTCCTCCCGCCACCGGAGGCCGCTCGGCCCCGGACAGGTCCGTGCGCAAGGAGGCAGGAGAGCGTGGCGCCGCGAAGGGGAGGCCCGCCGTGGCTGCGGGCGGTGCGGAGCGCGACTGGGGTGCCGTGCGGCGGGGGTGAGCGTGGAGCCCTCGCTGAGCCAATTCAGCTGACGAGCAGCGGTTTTACTACACGAACTGGACGAAAAACAAGCTTTTGGCCCACGGGGTTTTTACACACCGCGCGACAATATGCCGCGCGAGCACCTTTGATAGGCGCGGTACGGCCCACGGCCCTACCTCCTAGGTCCTACACACAGAAGCTCGACCTCCGATGGACACAGAGAGTCGCTATATACCGCGCGTCAGTAGCGGCGAGGCGACCATGCTCGACGGTTACCCTCGCCGCGGCTGCGCTCGGCCAGTAGTGGCCTCCCTGTGACGCTGGTCCGCCGCTGCCGCCGCAGCGGAGAGAGCGGCGTACTGAGAGAATGTGTTCGAGAGCGCCTCCTCCATGGCACCAAAGTGCTGGAGATCTTCTTGGTGGGCTGCGCGAGTAGCGAGCAACGCGCCCGTGAGCGCCCGCCGCTCGTGGTGCACGCCGCGCAGCCGCTCAGCTAGAGAGCTCTGTGCTCTCTCCGCCTTTTTCGTGGAGAGCGCGCTGTCCGCCAACCGTCGCTGCAACCGGACCCGCTCCACCCGGCCCTCCTCTGCGCGGTGCAACAGCAGTCGGCGTTCAGCTTGCTCCCTCAGGAGCGCCCCCGCTTCGATGGCCCCACGCTCTGAGCGACCCGCCTCGAAGGCTTGCTCCGCGCACTCGCGGGCGCGCTCCTCCGCCCGCCGCATTGCACCGAGGTGCGACTTGGACAGCCTCGCGGTCGCCTCCTCCCAGCCTCGCTGGTAGTGCTCCTCTCCCATCCGCTCTGCCTCGGCCGTCTGGCGCCGCGCGTCGACCAGTTCGCGCTGCGACTGGGCGAGCCGCTGCGCCGCGTCCTGTGCCTGCCGGTTGAGCTCGGCCGACGCGCTCTCGGCGTTGGCGCTCGCGGCCGCTCTCGAGGCCAGCCTCACCTCGGCAGCGCTGAGCGTAGCCCGAAGCCGCTCCACCTCGCTCCTCGCGGCATCGAGGGCGAGCGACAACTGCTTCGCCTCGCTTTTTGCGGCGGCAAGCGCGCGTGACCGCTCCTCTGCCTCGGCCCTCGCCGTGGTGAGCTCCCGTGCCTGCTGTTGGCTCACTCGAATGAGCGCATGATATCGGTCGTTGACCCCGAGCAGTTCTGACATACACTCCTGAAGTGCGCGCGGCAGCGCCGTGCTCGGACGCGGCGTGCTGCTGCCTGCTCGCGCGGCAGCATGTGCGGCGAGGACATCGGAGCGATCCACGGCCATTACTCTGTCCTGTACAACGCGCTATCTCGAACGCGCGACGGGTGCGCCCAACCGCCCGCCTCGTTTCGTCGAGCTTGAAGGATCCCTTGAAACGCACGGGGTCAGCTCTTTTCTTGAGCTCAAGAAAACTACTTTGACTTTGGAATGCTTTGTTGTACGACGGGCGGCGGCGGGCGGCTTGCGTGACAGACACCGCCATGACGGCAGGCCTCGTCGCCCTCTCCGCCGCAGTCCTCTCCACTGTCGCACCGTCTGTGTTCTTGGTGTGCAGCGGCAGCGGTGGCGGCGGGAGCGAGCAACACTGCCCGCCGGACGATTGGCTCGGTGAATACACTCTGCAGCTCGAGGCCCGCGGCGACCGGCCGACCTACCGCCACAGCACTGCGGCGTCGGGCACGCCCGAGATGTGGTATACTCCGGATCGCGGCTGGTACGTGGGCGCGGTGGACCGGCTCGGCGAGCGCAAGGCGGCCATGCTCTCCCGCGACATTGCTGCCATGACACCTGACGCAGTGACGCAGCCGTGGCTTGCGGGCAGCTGGACCGGCGGCAACAGGACGGCAGCCGCGGTGCCGGGCCTTCGCTGCCTGGGCGCAGCCGAGGGACGTGTTGCCATGGAGACAGAGGCTGCGGCGGCTCGCGCCATTGTCGCTGCGGGTGATTTCACTCTTCACAACCCCTGACCGAGCTCTCGCTGTTCACACACACATGGTGGCTTTAGGCGCTGGGACCGTGTACTTTGCGCCCGTGGAGTCCGACTCGCCGCGCTTCGACGACGTGCGAGCTGGGTGGGTGGGTGCATACCGGCGAGCGCGAATCCCGCAAGGGGAAGCGCTAATGCGACAGGAGGATCCCAGGCCGAGCGGAGGCCCCGGCAGCGCCGGGAGCGAGGACACGTTTCGCTCGGTGAATCAGCGAAACGTGTACGAGAGCTCCAGGCCTTCTGCAGGCGGCAAGACACGTGCGCTGTGGTATGCGGGCGACGCCTGGTTCCTCGGGTACCGCGAGAACATCGGGCAGCTGCGCGGCGTTTTCCATGCGCGCTCAGCGGCGCGCCTGCCAGAGCAGATTGGCGCTGCGGCTTGGCAGATGGCCTCGCGCAAGGGCCGCGGCAAGGCACCCGGGGCCGATTGGGTCGCGGCGCAGGACCTGCAGTTCTTCTCGGGCGAGGGGGGCAAGCAAGCGCTCTCCCGGTACAAGGCGCAGATGGAGCTGCGACGGCCGCATTCGGCAGAGCGTGGGAGGAGGGCGTCCGGTGGCGGTGGAAGGAGGGCACGCGCGCGGCCGGCCGCCGATGCGGGCTGAAATGTGACGCCCCAACTGTGTCGATAACGACTCGCTCTCGCTCTGTCGTGACCTGCGGTCTGCGCGGACCGCGGCGGACGTACGGGCTCTACCACAATCACTCTCCCTCGAGGTACGAGGATCCCCGCCTCGCCGTCGCGCCTGGTGACGGTGTGTCAGGCCTGATGACGGTGTTCGGGATCGTGTTTTCGTTGACGCCAGCCCGCAGCTCTCCCCCCCCAGAGAGGCCCCACAGGCCCCCGGCACCTCCCCCGCGGCGCGGCACCCCGCTACGTTCCTAGTCGTATAGATCTAGTCGTATAGATCTCTTATGCTTCAAGTCTTGCCCGCCCACTTGCCCGCCCCTCATCCGCTAAGCGGTGAAGCTAGATCTCGAGTTCACGAGTTGTCGAGAGAGCTCGCCAGACCCAGAGGCACAGAGTCATTTGATACAGTATATACAGAGAGAGGTCTCCCTCAGAGGAACAGACGGGGGTCAAGGAGGGGTCAGTACAGAGCATGCTCAGCATAATGGAGCATGGCGGCTTGCTTTTACCGCTTATTTTCGATTTTCGTTTCGTTTTTTGAATTTTGTGAGGACATTGCATCGCGGAAGTAGTTACATAGTCGACACCTAGGTCGACACCCGTATACAGAGAGGCGCACACACTGCGCCACCAACACACACACGTAGCTCAAGAAATACATCCGCGTCGTGGGCCACGAGAGTGTCGTGCCACCCGCCCACTGCATGCTCGACGGACTGCCTGCATGTTCATGTAGTCGAATCATACCACTTGCGACGCGGTCGGAGACTCGCACTCCACATCAGGGTCGCCTCGCCGGGCTGCAGCGACGAGCTCATGCTCTCGAGAGGAGCCGCCTCTCCTCGAGTCGCTGGCAAGCGAAGCGCGTGGGTCAGGCGGCGGCGGCGGCGGTGCCGGCGGCCGCTGTGGCGACAACAAATGGCTGAATCGTGAGCGCACGCCCCCGACCCACCCCGCGGCCGCCGGCTGCGGCTGCGCCGACTGCGACTCGTGCGGCGGAAAGCCCTCTGCGGGCGCGACAGCGGCCGGGTGGCGCGGCAGCGACGGCTCGATCCCGTCTCCCGAGATCTCGTCTCCCGAGATCTCGTCTCCCGGGTTGAGGACGACGAGGGTGGGCGGGGCGGAGCCTCCCGCCCCCCTCCACCCCCTGCCCTCGTGGTCGGAGGGTCCGCCCAGCTGCAGGTCCGGCCGCCAGGCGATGAGGTTCGCCCCTCCGAGCGCCTCCGGCTTGACCTCGACGGTGGTGATGGCGGGCAGCATCTGCTCGGCGAGCTCCTCGGCGATCTGCTGCACCTGCGGCGAGGGGCGAGCGGGCCGGGGGCGAGCGGGCTGGGGGGGAGGGGCGGGGCGGGCAGTGGTAGGGCGGGAGTGTGGGAAGG